GCAAAGTCCAACACTTTCACGTGCCAGCTGTGTGACTGTACATCTCATGCAGATTGGCTTTTCACAATAATAATAAGTAACTTGGACATATGAAGACCTGTTTCGTTTAGTAACCAATGCCCTAAAAAAGGCTCTTGTCTTTTTAAGAAGCAATAGCTTTTAAAACATGAAGAAATAAGTTGTCGGAGTTAAAGACTGTCTCACAAATGTTAATAAATGTTAGGTTATCAACCTTGACGTTGCATGAAACATAATTTAATTGCAGATGTTGTAATGAAGCCGAGGTGACTTCTTAAAATCGCTTGAGAAAATTTTGTAGTAAATAATTTGCCTTTTTTTTACTTACGAATTGTAAAAGGGCCAAAGACCAACATCTTCACGTGCAAATTGTTTGCAAGAGTTATTTTTATAATTCTGTTTACTAGTTTACTGTGTGATAACTCGAATTCCCTCACGTACGAACCACGAAAGGGGGCAAAGTCCAACACTTTCACGTGCCAGCTGTGTGACTGTACATCTCATGCAGATTGCCTTTTCACAATGATAAATAGTAACTTGGACGTATGAAGACCTGTTTCGTTTTGTAACCAATGCCTTAAAAAAGGCTCTTGTCTTTTAAGAAGCAATAGCTTTTAAAACATTAAGAAATAAGTTGTCGGAGTTAAAGACCGTTTCACTGAGTAGAATCGCACGTGAAAACCTCGCGAATTATGATGATGCAACCATCTACCTCAATGATAAAAATCCTGGTATTTCCTAACTATTCAGTATTCGATGAGTCACATTTTGGCTTAAGAAACTCCGAGGAAATCTTAGAGTTTTCCTTCTAATCAACGTTTGGTGAGTAGAAATTTATTTCACTTTGACAATTTGTTTAACTTGTACCAGATGTAACAGGGAAAGACAGAGGAAAGTGAATATATAGATGGAGGATCGACTCAGCTGAGCGTTTCGCGTTTTCATTTATGTAGCGCAATACCCAATTTCGCAAAAAAACCAAATCTACATTTAGGATGAAAAAGGTAGATTCATCACTCTTGGTAAGGTTACACCGAAGTATTATAGTTACACTGAAGCATTCAAAACAGCTCATGCACGTTTAACGTGCCTATGTTTGCATGTTTGTCACTGCCCAACACAAAACTGACAGTCTTTGTATGTTGTCCTTCGGTAGCAGTTTAAAAATAACAACATGAAATCCAAGTGTGGCTCTACACGTAAAAGAATTAAGAATTGAAGAAGATTTCTTAGGAAAGTAACTTATTAGGATTGTAAAGAAGAATACTATTGTCTTAACCATATCTATCTAGATTTCAATTTAGTGGTCAAATATTCTGGGACAATTCGTACAGGTACTAAATTTGCAAAGAAAACTTGTAGTACTCGAAAATGTGGCCTAAGAACTACACGTATTCAGTGCTTATGAAAGACTATCACTGCAACCTTACATTTGCGTATATTTATTGTGCCACGAAAACTACATTAGTGTAATGTCTGATTAGGCCATTTACACTAATGGGTCATGTGACATCGTTTTTTATGAAAAATTATGAAAGTTATATGATTTTGCCTTCGAAAAACGATTAGTGGGTCATATCTTAAACAAAATAATAGTGATTTGGTTTTTCAAACCCGCATCATTTTCTTAAACTCAGTAAGTCGTAGCTTGTCACGTGACCAAATGTGATTTTTTAAATTATGAATTACCTCTTTCTGAGCACAAATTTTGGACTTAAACTTCAAGGGAAATGTTGGAAAGATGATGTGGTAACATTTACAGCACATCTGAGCATAAGAGAGAGCCTGACACGTGACCAAATGTGATTTTATAATTATGAATTACCTCTTTCTGAGCACAAATTTTGGACTCAAACTTCAAGGGAAATGTTGGAAAGATGATGTACCAAACGTTTAACAAGATATAAGCAAAAAGGAGGTTTTGGCCGCCATGTTGAAAGGCAAGAGTATGCCCTCCAACATGGCGGCCAATACAAATCATACTGCTTTGTTGAAAAATCAAACTGACATAAAAAAATCTCCCGTAAATGTGTTTCCTCTCAAAGTTCACGTGTAAGATAACTTTTATGTGCTCTGTCAATTTTTGGCATCAGCAAGATTCCAACTCATTGTTTAAAAGAACCATTGGTCACGTGACCTCTTAGTGCAAGTGGCCTATTAAGTACACGAGCACTTAGCAATTAACTCTTACCATGACTCACTTTCCACATTCTGTTCACAAGGGCTTCACATTGCTTCTTCCAACTGTACATCTCCTCATATGATGCTCTCAGGGATTTTATCTCTTGAAGCCTCATTCCATGCCTGATACGAACAGCTTCAATTGCTTTTGCCCATTCTGCAGGATCATCCGAATTCACGATGCATGCATTACCATGAAGAACATTCTCTAATGCTTTGGCAAATCCCGATTTACTACCAACAAGAATGGGTAAACCTGCAGACAAGGCTTCAAGTGCGACAAGACCAAATCCCTCTGATTTTGATGGCATGATAGCAAGGTCAGCTTCACACAACAAATCTTTCAGTTTCTCTCTACTTTGCAAAAATTTTCTAACAGTCAACTGTGCTTCTGCAATTTCACGCTGAAGAAGTTTTTCTCTAACTTTTTCTTGCTTTCCTTCAGGTGCTCCGACAAAAATTAGATGGTAAGGTTTGTTTTTTAACCGCTGATCAGTGAATGCTTGAGCAGCAATGTTGTATCCTTTAAGTTCAAAGTCCTCATCATCACCACGACCAAATAGCAGTACTTTAAACTCAGCATGCTCATTACGGGTTTGTATTAAATCCCCAAACTCCCTCTGAAAAAGGCCTGGAGTAATGGACAAAACGTCTTGACCTGTCTTATATCGCTGTAAATATGAAGCATACGCTTCTTTCAGTCTGGGTCCCACAGGGACTACAAGATCTGCAAGTTTGCAAAGTTCAACTTCTGATTCGTGTTTTGTTTCACCTTTTGAAATGGGGTCACTGTAGCATTTGTATCTGCTCAGGTCCTCTGGAGCAGTATGCACCACTTGTACCCACTTACAATTTGGAAATTGAGCAGATTCTCTAATGAATTGTACCTGCCGACCAAGTTTTACACCATGGCCAACAACGATGTCCATAACATGATCCTTGGGTGGTGAGCTTAGCCAATCAAGACGATCAAATGCTGCACGTTCTTTTGCCTCAACAATAGTGATTCCATAGCCATCCGCTTCTCTTATTTCTTCAGTGTTGCAAGCTCCTTCTGGGACTAGTAAGGAAACCTTCACCGCTGAATGATTTGAAAGGTGAATTGCAAGCTCTCTGTTTATGGTTGACAAACCACCAGCAGATGAACCCCACTCACCACCAAGAAGAGTAACATGTAACACTGGATCACTGGTCTCAGGAAAGCAAACCTACAAAAACAATAACAGTAAAAGTGAAGAGACACAAGACCAAAAAACATTAAAGGTTTGGTATTACTGTCAACTATTAAAACATATATTATT